TTTATTGGTGTATACTGGCAGCAGGTTTTCTTTCAAACATGTTTCATTGAATATGACCGCATATTCTGTATTTATTATTTTCTGGTTTAGGGCTTCTATCCCTCTAACTATTTTCTTAGCATCAGGGCTTAATTGGAATAGGAGTTCTCCAAAACTCATTTTCGTACTTTTAAGGTGAAGAAAAGAAGTGATTTACTATAGAGTGTATTACACTTATTAGTATAATTTGCACGACGTTTCGAACCTCCATGGTTCATTCTCAAGTGAACAATCTTACAATACTAGTTAATTTTATACCCGCATTAGGTCAGGTGATAATACAATGAAGGTGAAAAACATGGGGGATACATAAGGGATAAACATAGGGGCTGCAGAAGGCTTATTGGCCCATACGAGGCATCTCCTATCTAAACACAAAGATTAATCCAGTGTAATTGGCCTGTTATGTTGGACATTGTCTTCTGTGTTGGCATCGATATGTTCTTGTCTTGTCCTTACTCTCATGGTGGGTAGAGTAAATAGTTCCGTGATTTGGGTGTTCATGGTAGGTCGCTCTATTCTTATGTGAATTGCCTCAAGAATTTGTAATCTTCTTGAATCTTGGGTTTTGTCTATTATGCAAGTATTCTTGTTCAACATTTCTCTTGTTAGAGTAATGTCATGGGCTTGTCTCATGTGATTCCTAGGGGCACCAGATTGAAGATGGCATGTCAAACGCCTCGTCAGCTTGGTCGACGTCATACCTATGTACTTACATTGAAGGTTACATCCTTCGTGGGGGCAAGTGTACATGTATACAACGCTTGACTGCTGTAGAGGGTTCTCCGTCGGCTTCGGGCTGTTTTTGATAAGGAGTTCGGAAGTCTTCTTGGTTTTGTAGAATATTATCAGGTTTATGTTTTGGTTAGGAGTAGTGCTTTTTACTCCTTTACGGATTATTTCTTTCATTATTCTTTCCTCTTTTATATGTTCACTGTGCATGGTTGATTTGTAATATAATTTTATTGGGGGTGTTGTGGTTTCTGTTCTAGGTTCTGAATTATACCAACGGTCCAAGTGTCTTCTTATAGCAGCGTTTATTTCCGCGTTGCTATATCCGTTGTTCACCAATACCTGAGTTACTCTTTCAAACTCTCTACTCACGTTGCTCCATTCAGAGCAGTGGGTAAGCGCTCGACGAATATAAGCATTGAGAACACTGGCTTTGTATCTTTGGGGGCACTCACTTCTACCGTTCAGGCATAATCCTATGTTGGTGGGCTTGGTATATACGTTGGTGCTTAAAGAGGTTCCTGTTTTTGTTATTAGTACATCCAAGAATGGCAGACTGTTATTTTCACTATTTTCATGTGTAAATCGGAGTACTGACTCTCTCTCTAGGTGTCTTTTTAGGTCAATTAGTTCATCTGAGTCTTTTACCATTACGAATATGTCATCTACATAACGGCAGTATACAGTTGGTTTTTGTCTGCTACTGAAGACCCTATCTTCGATGGTTCCCATATAAAAATTAGCAAATAAAACTCCTAAGGGGGAGCCCATTGCTACTCCGTCTATCTGTAAATACATGTCTCCTTGTGGACTGATGAAAGGGGCTTCCTTTGTACATGCTTCGAGAAGACTTTTCAAGTGTGGCTCAGGTATGTCTAATTTGGGGGTGCTCTCGTCTCTGTATACTCTGTCCAGTATCATTCCTATGGTTGTGTCGACTGGGACGTTGGTAAAAAGGGATTCAACGTCCAGGGAAGCGATGATTCCATCGGGCTGGGTAGATTTGATCAATTCTAGGAAATCTGCTGATGATTGATGATACCAAGCCCACCAACATAGGATTATGCCTGAACGGTAGAAGTGAGTGCCCCCAAAGATACAAAGCCAGTGTTCTCAATGCTTATATTCGTCGAGCGCTTACCCACTGCTCTGAATGGAGCAACGTGAGTAGAGAGTTTGAAAGAGTAACTCAGGTATTGGTGAACAACGGATATAGCAACGCGGAAATAAACGCTGCTATAAGAAGACACTTGGACCGTTGGTATAATTCAGAACCTAGAACAGAAACCACAACACCCCCAATAAAATTATATTACAAATCAACCATGCACAGTGAACATATAAAAGAGGAAAGAATAATGAAAGAAATAATCCGTAAAGGAGTAAAAAGCACTACTCCTAACCAAAACATAAACCTGATAATATTCTACAAAACCAAGAAGACTTCCGAACTCCTTATCAAAAACAGCCCGAAGCCGACGGAGAACCCTCTACAGCAGTCAAGCGTTGTATACATGTACGCTTGCCCCCACGAAGGATGTAACCTTCAATGTAAGTACATAGGTATGACGTCGACCAAGCTGACGAGGCGTTTGACATGCCATCTTCAATCTGGTGCCCCTAGGAATCACATGAGACAAGCCCATGACATTACTCTAACAAGAGAAATGTTGAACAAGAATACTTGCATAATAGACAAAACCCAAGATTCAAGAAGATTACAAATTCTTGAGGCAATTCACATAAGAATAGAGCGATCTACCATGAACACCCAAATCACGGAACTATTTACTCTACCCACCATGAGAGTAAGGACAAGACAAGAACATATCGATGCCAACACAGAAGACAATGTCCAACATAACAGGCCAATTACACTGGATTAATCTTTGTGTTTAGATAGGAGATGCCTCGTATGGGCCAAAGCCCCTATGAGCCTTCTTAAGAAATAAGAAGGCTTAAGATGAGGCTTAAGAAATAAGCCTTCTGCAGCCCCTATGTTTATCCCTTATGTATCCCCCATGTTTTTCACCTTCATTGTATTATCACCTGACCTAATGCGGGTATAAAATTAACTAGTATTGTAAGATTGTTCACTTGAGAATGAACCATGGAGGTTCGAAACGTCGTGCAAATTATACTAATAAGTGTAATACACTCTATAGTAAATCACTTCTTTTCTTCACCTTAAAAGTACGAAAATGAGTTTTGGAGAACTCCTATTCCAATTAAGCCCTGATGCTAAGAAAATAGTTAGAGGGATAGAAGCCCTAAACCAGAAAATAATAAATACAGAATATGCGGTCATATTCAATATATATATATATATATATATATATATATATATATATATATATATATATATATATATATATATATATATATATATATATATATATATATATATATTATATATTTTATATGCAGGCGATGAGTCACAATAACGTGGCTGAAGTATGTTGACCAGACCACACACTAGAAATTGAAGGGACGACGACGTTTCGGTCCGTCCTGGACCATTCTCAAGTCGATTGTGATGAGGAGGTAGGGACAGGCAATAAATAGGCAAGAGAGAGCTGAGGAGGAAAGTCAGGTGTAGGGGATAGTAGTAATGAGAACTGCAGCAGGCCTATTGGCCCATACGAGGCAGCTTCTATTATAACCACCGAAGGAGATAGTAATAGGAAAAAAGAAGAGGATAGCAAGGGAGCGTAGGAGAAGACAATGAACAGAAAAAGGGAGAAGAGAGAAAGAAAAGGAAAGAGAAAGAAAGAAATGGAAGGGGGAAAGCTTATGTTAAGTCACGTTTGTTAGAACGTGACGTGACTACTATCCCCTACACCTGACATTCCTCCTCTGCTCTCTCTTGCCTATTTATTGCCTGTCCCTACCTCCTCATCACAATCAACTTGAGAATGGTCCAGGACGGACCGAAACTTCGTCGTCCCTTCAATTTCTAGTGTGTGGTCTGGTCAATATATATTTATATTTATGCGAACAAGCCTCCCCAGGCACATATGCAACTGAAAACTCACACCTCAGAAGTGACTCGAACCCATACTGCCAGGAGCACTCTTCAACTGTTGTACAGGACCCCTTAACCACTCGACCATCGCGACTGGACAAAAGATGATGGTAGCCAACGCTAATTCCCCATCATCCCGCCGGCACCCTGCTGGTAATCTTAAGCATGGTATTTTATCAAATCACCTCATTCTTTGGGGCACACGTGAGGAACACAAATGCGAACAAGCCTGAATGGTTCCCAGGCATATATGCAATTGAAAACTCTCACCCCAGAAGTGACTTGAACCCATACTGCCAGGAGCACTGTGCAACTGGTGTACTGGACCCCTTAACCACTCGACCATCATGACCGGACAAAAGATGATGGTAGCCGAGGCTAATTCCCCATCATCCCGGCACTCTGATGGTAATTAGGTAATCCTGATTAGTCCTCCTGAGTAGAAGAACTCCCAGAACCCCCATCAACCATGTATCATAAGAACAAAGGTAACTGCAGAAGGCCTATTGGCCCATACGAGGCAGCTCCTATCTATAACCACTCAATCCCACTCATATACTTATCAACCATATCATATACTATCAACCAGACTTAATAGATATAACCACCTCGGTGTAAAAATTCACGGAGCAATGGGCTCCCCCAGAAAACAAAGGAATAATTAATTTTATTATTTGTATATATAATACGGAACAGTATTTCAAGTTGCTGGCAACCGGATGAAGTCTTTTTGGTGAACCGTATGTGGCTTGCAGGTCATAGTTTGGAGACCTCAACAATATAGATAATAATTATAAGTTACAGTATTATAGATAAATTACTGTACAATAGTAAAAGATAATAAATTACAATACTATAATGTTAATTATAAATTGCAATGCCATAGATAATAATCATTACAATATGTATTATATATAATTATAAATTACAGCACTATACTATAAGTGATTATAAATCTCATTACTATAGATAACTAATAAATTACAGTAATGTAGATGGCAATTATAAATTATAGTACTAAAGATAAATAAAATTTAAGGTACTATAGTTAAATATTAATATTAACTTAAAGTACTATAGATTACTGTGCAATTGATAATTTATGTACATAGAGTAATGAAAATAAATAAATAAATATATATATATATATATATATAATATATATTTATAATTAATTTTTTTTTTTTTTTTTTTACTTTTCCAGAACTTAGGCCATCCTTGTTCACACTGCAGAGAGGGACGTGTGCGTCCTTTTCAATTTTCACTGGATCAGGCAATATTAAGGTGTGACAACACAGAATGTGACAGTTTGCTTGTGTCACCACCCTGGGAAAGCATCATTAATCGTAATATCAGGCAGCAAATTCCTCGTCGGTCAGCCGATTTTGGTAAGTTTTTCCTGCATGATCTATCCACTTTTATTAGTACACAACTATTTAATCTAATTGGTATCTGACTGCAGTTGCTACCAAAAGTTTACTGAACATTAAAGAAATCTAAAATTAGTAATACACAATTTTAAAAGATACAGTGCTACATTGGTGTACGAATGCCCTACAGTACAATTTTTTTGGTATACGACGTCAAATACATTGTAAAAATTGAATTGTTGTACAACGTTTTTCTTGGAATATGACGTCTGTTGATACGTGTTTGGGTCGAATGAGCACGTGGTGTTGGGGAGTGGGGCGATTGTTTACCAGTGTATCCTACCTACTTGTCCAGTTACGACTGCACTTGAATTCTTTGTAGAGAATTTCTTTGTGCTTTTGTTTTGGTTTCTGAACATAAAGGTCCTTATTATATATAGGTCCCAAGAAAGTCAGTGGTAAAGTTAAACCTAAGACAATAGTTGTGAGGATGACTATAGAGGAAAAACAAAAGATCATTTGTAAACATGAAAATGGTATGCGGGTTGTTGTCTCTTCTTCATTAATTAAAAATTCTTGACAATTTACGTAACCTATACTAACACAACACTAAAATTAACACTTAAAATTACTGTACAGTTCATTAACCAAAGTTAGTTTTGACTGCCAGTTGCGGAAGCCTCACTAGTTGAAGGCATTTGGCTTGCCTGTGACGCCACACTTGTTGAAGGTGCTGGGCTTGCCTGTGATGCCACACTTGTTGAAGGTGCTGGGCTTGCCTGTGATGCCACACTTGTTGAAGGCGTTTAGGTTGTCTGTGATGCCTCACTTGTTGAAGGTGCTTGGCTTGATTTTCGTACCATATAAGAAGCAAGTGTAGCTTGCCTTCTGTGTTCACTGACCAGTTGTATGATGAGCTCTTTGGTTCACCTCGGGTACTGATACATGTTTCCAACTTCTGGATGAGCACAATTGGATGAAAAATTTATTAATCCGTCAACATAGGTCATGAGTACACTGTATTTTGTGGTCATTGGTGTTGGTTCTTTACTGCCTTCTTCATCCTCTTCCTCTTCATCAACCTCACCAGTTTTTGAAGACGAGACTGGAGAATCTCGTCTTCACTCATCACACCATATCTTGGGTCATTGACATCTTTTTCAAGCCAATCAACCACATCCTGTCTTTCTAAGTTTTTGCCGACATTTCTGAACATTACATGGATTTCATCTGTAAATCCTTCAAAATCAATTTCTTCATCCTCCTCATTTCTGACCGTAGACGTGAGGAGTTTTTTCCAGGAATTTTTCAAAGTCGATTCCTTTACTTCACTCCACACCTTGGCCCAGTTATAGATGGCTTCCTTGATTGTATAGTTCTTCAAATTCTCAAGTTTTTTTTTTAGCCCTGTTATCCACACCAAGTTCAATATCTTCCAGAAGAGGCAAAACCACCAAAACTTCGTTCAGCATCTTTTTGGTGTACAACCTCTTCGTGGCACAGATAACTCCCTGATCCATGGGCTGGATGAGAGAGGTTGTGTTAGGAGGAAGTGCCATACACATTACCTTGCCATCATGTGAGGTTAACATGTCAATTTTGGGGTGGCCAGGTGCATTATCAAGCAGCAGCAAAGCCCAAACTTCGCTTGGTCTTACTTTGAGTTTCTTAACTTGATAGGCATGAACTTCCCTGCAGAACTCATCATGAAACCAAGAAAGAAAGATCTGTGTAAACCATGCATTTTGTGAGTTATAATATTTCACTGGCAGTCTGTCCAAGCAATCTTGGAAGGCTCTTGGTTTCTTTGATTTGCCAACAATTGCACATGTGATTCTGTCTGTGCTGTCGGCATTCACACACAACATGGCTGACAGCCTGTCCTTGTTGATCTTACGGCCTGGCACACAACCCTCACTCCTCATTGCTAGAGTTTTTTCTGGCAAACTCCTCCAATACAGCCCAGTTTCATCAGCATTATAAATTTGATAAGAATATAAATTATTTGACAAAATGTATGCTTTTAATTTCTATTTAAATGGTTCTACACTGCTTTCATCTGCACTCAATTTTTCACCGACAATTTTCCTCTTCACAATATTGTGCCTAACTTTGAACCTTGCAACCCACCCTTCACTGGCTTCAAAATCCTTTATTCCAAGGTTTGCTGCAAACCTGCTTGCAGCATTTTGTATTTCTGGGCCGCGAATTGTCACGCCAGCTGTGCGGTGGTGAGCAAACCACTTGTACACAGCCTCATCCAACTGTACATGCGTCGAAGTATGTACTTGTACACAGCCTCATCCAACTGTACAAAGCTGCCTGAGAAATATAAGAAAATTAACTTTTGTAAAGAGAGTGGTAGATGTTTGGAACAAGTTAGGTGAGAAGGTGGTGGAGGCCAAAATCGTCAGTAATTGCAAAGTGTTATATGACAAAGAGTGCTGGGTAGACGGGACACCACAAGTGTAGCTCGCATCCTGTAACTACACTTAGGTAATTACTTCTCTGGGGTACTCTTTCTCCAACATTTTGTGTGCATACCACTAGGACCTGGTTGTGGCTCACTGCTTGTTTTTCTCACTAAGAACCTTTCCATATAGACTTGTTTTTGCCTACATTTTAACATTTATCTGTAGTGAGGCATCACAGTGTTAATGAAATTGTTATAGCAATGGCCAACTGCAGCTTGATTTGGCGAGTTGTTTTTAACAAAACTTTACATTTCTTCCCATACTGCACACGACTTCTTAATTTTCTCTATTGTCATCCTCACATGTGTTTTCTTAGGTTGAACCTTACTACTGACTTTCTTGGGACCCATGGCATGATACATAATAATTACTTTTATGTTCAAAAAAACAAAAATAGCACAAAAACAATGAAATTCTCTACAAAGAATTCAAGTGTGATAGTCACTAAGTGGGCGGTCTGGTATATCTTGAGGTTATCTTGAGATGATTTCAAGGCTTTAGTGTCCCCGCGGCCCGGTCCTCGACTAGGCCTCCACCCCCCAGGAAGTAGCCTGTGACAGCTGACTAACACCCAGGTACCTATTATACTGCTAGGTAACAGGGGCATAGGGTGAAAGAAACTCTGCCTATTGCTTCTCGCCGGTGCCCAGGATCGTACCCGGGACCACAGGATCACAAATCCAGTGTGCTGTCCCCTCGGCCGACCGGCTCCCCAACTGGTAAACTGAAGCGGAATTGCCCGTGCCACCGGGAACCACAGGCTCTGTCGACCCATACGTATATCAACAAAGTTGCAAGTCAAGGCATAGGTCGTAAGTAGGGGTATTCGTAAGTCGAGGTTCCACTGTACTTAATTTTATTTTTCTTTCAGGACATCATCGGTTTTGGGGTGGTAGCAGCAGCAGTAGTGGTGTGCAGTCAGATATAAGAAGCCCATTAATGAGTCCTGCCCAGTCCTTGGGTTCTGTAACAGATAAAGAAGTGGAATTACTTTTGAGAAAATCCTACGCGCCTCCAAAATTCACTAAAAATAAAAAATCATATTCAAAAAGGTGTCCTACATCTTTAAATTGCAATGACCTTCCTGCTAGTTTTCAGCCTCCAATTTTGAAAGATAATTCCAAGTGTGAAAGTTTCTTTGAATTGCTTGGTAGCCTAGATTTGGACTCGACACCACATGCAAATCCTCTCGCAAATGACTCTCCACCAGTGGCCTCGTATAATAATTCTGGACTAGATATTGTAACTGCTGAACTTGAATCTTGGATGAAAGGTTTTGAGTCTCCAACATTTAATAATGTGACAAGTGAAAGTGTAGAAGTGAACCCTTCCACGGCTGGCTCTAATTTGTATAATCATTTTAGAAAAAATATATCCAAATCAAGGATTTCAGAAAAGCAGCAGCTTATTATTCCAAGCCAAGGTTCTGCTTTTTCTCAGATATCTACATTGAAAGAAAAAAATGGACTTAATTCCAATACTTGCCAGGAATTTGCCATTGATTTCTCAACTAGCCCATCATTAATGCTACAGGAAAATACAAATATTAAAACCTTAGCACATAATGATCTAGAAAATGACACTAACCCGACCTCGCTCATTTGTCTAAAAAATGATCCAGTGAAATATGATCTTTCTGCATTGTGTGACTCTCAGTTTTTATCGCCTGCTACCTCAGCTGTCAGTGATGATAGTGGTTATAATGAAGAAGATGCTAGCAAAGTTCCAGTTGTTGCTCTGCCACAGTTGCATGAGGAGAGCTCTGATGTTTCCTCTTGTTCTAGAATTCACATGGAGTCTATGGAAGCTGTAGATACAAATGAAATTTCAAAATGCAAGTTTATGACAGCTTCATCACATGCTAATCTGAAGAGCCTAATATCAATGGATTTAAAAATATCTACTCCTCATGATCCACCTCATTTTAATATTCACCCAGCAATAGTAACAATAGAAAAATGTTGTAATTTAAATAAGCAAACTGATGTTGAATCTGAATTGTTAGAGTCTCATGAAGATGCTGGATTATCACCAGCTAATCATTCCATCAACTTTGGTGAAGTGCCTCTTGGTGGAGAAGATGATGATATACAAGCTGATAATGGTTCTGACCTTGATATTTTTTTTGAAAATACTCCAAATTTTTCAAGATCATTTAATATAGAACAAGAATCTAATAACATTGATTTAGTTTCAAGGGATGACAGTACATCAAACACTGAAATTAGTGGTGGCTTAACTACCGAGCCTTCTCAAGCAGCAGTGACACAAGAACATTGTGATACCTCTAGTCAATTTGGGTCTACATTATTATCTGATGGAGCTGAAGATATTGAGAGTAAAGTTTCACATTCTGATCATTCTTCAGATTTATTGTCACTTTGTTCTGTTGTAAATACAAATCAGTACAATGAATCTAGTAGAGGCAAACGCCATGGAAGAGGAAGACGCAGAAAAAGAGGGAAAAGTCAACAAGTATCTGATACATATCAAAGCGGTGGTGCAAATGTTTGCTCATCGAATTCTAATCTTGAAGTTAGTAATGATGCAGTGACCAAGCTAAAGGGCAAGAAGGGTCGGGGTTGTGGAAGGGGTTCAAACAGAGGTAGGGGACGGAAAAATGTAAACAATATCCCAGGGTTGTCAGAATTGCAACCAAACAAGAGACCAAGAGTTCCTCCTGAAATGCTTCCTCGCCAGACAAGACAGCGTACTGGATACATAGAAGTTCAAGCCACAACCCCAAGGGAAAGATTTTGTAATGAGTTTACTTCTGAAGACAACTGTGATGGGAATATGAGAAGAGGCCTTTCAACTCTCCTTCAAGGTCCAAGTTGGCAGGTACCTGAAAGAAGAAATAATGATCATAGTAGGAAGTAAGTATATAGTGCAGCATTGTGTACACACATTTTTTGTTACTGGTTGGATTTTAGTTATGTTAGTGTTACTGAATTAAAAAAATAATGTACTGCCTTATATTTCATGAAGTTTGATAATATAATATATGCAGAATTCAGAGTAATCAGTGTTTCACTTTTTAGTTGCAATTTATATCTGATTATTATTTTGTCTTCTTTTTAGCTTAACCAACCTGAGTTTTCGAAGCCTTCTGAATGGTAAGTAAATTTTAACATTAAATTAATTAGTATATATATTTTAATGTCCTGATAAAAGATAGTATAAAAAACCAGTCTGAAGAAATCATTGTTAAAGATTATAAATATTAAACACCCATGTTTAAACTGAAGAGTATCTTGATATAGTGGGTTCATGTAGACCAGAGAATGTACGAGAAAGCAAAATATGAAAGGCTACATTTATCCCATATACAGTACAGGTATATAGTTTTTACTATGGTTTTCAGTAGTGCTGTGATTTATTCTAAATACCATTAATCATTCATGTTTTTGTTTTATCATCTTACTGCTGGTATTGTATTTCTAAGTTGATTAACACTTTAGGATTCTGGGGGGAAATGGGTTCCATTTTTGCTATCTAATTAATCAACTATCTTTGCCTGCTCATTTAGCAATTCAAAAAATATTTAACCTCAGTTTTTCTTTGGGAACTATAAGCATTGAATATTGATTTTGATATCAAGATGTTCAGAATCTTGGATTATCTGGACATACAAGTTTCCTGTTCTCCACTTCCATTATCTATGAAGTCTCGGCACAATACTTTGGCGGAGGACACCCATTTATATTATATAAAAAAAGTTTTCTTCCATATATATATTAGTACATTCCTATTAACCCTTAGGCTGTGGTTATTATCAGTTGACGATCCCTAGGGGATTGTGGTTATCATCAAAAGACGATTTAAACAATTTCTGTCTGGGTTTTACATGTATGATGCAAATACAGATACAATATGTCTTTATGGATATAATGGAGTTTATCTTGACCCATGAAAAAATCCTACCACCATTTCATGGTATGAGTGCGGTTATCATCATGAATGTTATTAGGGGAAATGTGGTCGTCATATGATTTAAACAATTATTGTCTGGGTTTTACATGTATGAGGCAAATATGGATATACAGTAATACCTCTTTGTAGATGTAATTAAAAAAACACAAGTGATAAGAGTCAGTGAAACATTCGAGTATAAAATAGGAAGTATTCCCCAAGTTGTACTTGAGGGGGTTGTGCTTTAGTTCTTTGGTCTTGCCTCGCAACTGTCAATCAACTGGTAATTACTTAAGTGTAGTTACAGGATGAGAGCTACGCTAGTAGTGTCCCATCTTCCCAGTACTCTTTTTCATTATGCTTTGAAACTTGACGCAAGAAGGGTGGACGCCACCACCCTTCTTGTTTAACTTATTACAACCGCCTACCGCTCTGTTTGCAAAAGGAAATCTAATATTTTTTTTGTCACCTTTGTTTCCTTAGCTGGAATCTGTGTCCACTTGTTCTTGAAGTTGCTAGTTTCAGGACACAGAAATCACAATAACGTGATGCATCAAATGAACACATCCACAAGGGCTGTAATGAGGATTCGAACCTTCGTCCGGGAGCATCCCAGATGCTGCCTTAATCGACTGAGCTACGACATGGTTAAAAAGAGTTGAAACCGAAGTTGTACTGAACTTATTGGATCCCGCAGCCTCTCCGAGACACAAACCAGGGTTTTACATAACTCCCCCATACACTCGAGCTATGTCAATAGGCCGTTCTCCGTGTAATGATGTAAGGGTGAAGAGGGAGAACGGCCTATTTGATCCTATTTATCTAGATCAATTTCAAGGGAATTGCAATCGTTTGTCTGCCTTCGGCAAAATATACGATAAAGGCACAAACATTCATACCAAAACATAGATGCAGGACCAGAAAATTGGAGTGGTTGAATGGAAATTGAGAGGGCCACAGTTTAAAAGACAGGAAAATGGGTTCAATGTCTCTTAACTTCCCCAGTATCTTAGCATCATCTACAAACACGTTCATATAATTCTGTATTCTTGTAGATTGTAACTCTTGTATCCCCGTAACTCTGATGCTCTTATTGGTCGCACAGATGGTATCACAGTGAACCCCTGGATGAATGGCAAGCAGTTGGTATGGGACTACACATGTGTATCAACCCTGGCTAACACCTACATTGATTTCAGTGTGTATGTGTGTGTAATTACTTAAGTGTAGTTACAGGATGAGAGCTACGCTCGTGGTGTCCCGTCTACCCAGCACTCGTCATACAACGCTTTGAAACTACTGACGATTTTGGTCTCCATCACCTTCTCACATAAATTGTTCCAACCATCTACCACTCTGTTTGCGAAAGTGAATTTTCTTATATTTCTTCTGCATCTTTGTTTAATTAGTTTAAATCAATGTCCTCTTGTTCTTTAAGTTCCAGGTCTCGGGGAAATCTTCCCTGTTGATTTTATCAATTCCTGTTTCTGTTTTGTATGTATTGATCATATCACCTCTTTTTCCTTTGTCTTCTAGTTTTGGCATATTTAATGCCTCTAACTTCTCCTCATAGTTCTTGCCCTTCAGTTCTGGGAGCCACTTAGTTGCATGTCTTTGCACCTTTTCCAGTTTGTTGATGTGCTTCTTAACATATGGGCAGTCGTAAGACTATCTTGAGGTTATCTTCAGATGATTTCGGGGCTTTTTTTTTTTAGTGTCCCCGCGGCCCGGTCCTCGACCAGGCCTCCACCCCCAGGAAGCAGCCCGTGACAGCTGACTAACACCCAGGTACCTATTTTACTGCTAGGTAACAGGGGCATAGGGTGAAAGAAACTCTGCCCAATGTTTCTCGCCGGCGCCTGGGATCGAACCCAGGACCACAGAATCACAAGTCCCGCGTGCTGTCCGCTTGGCCGACTGCCCCTGGCACCACACAACCGCTGCACATTCGAGCTTTGGCCTAACAAAAGTCGTGAACACTTTCTTTAGTATTTCGCCATCTATGTATTTAAAAGCAATTCTGAAGTTAGAAAGCGTGACATAGGCTCCTCACACAATGTTCTTTATGTGGTCCTCAGGTGGTAGTTTTCTATCTAGAACCACCCCTAGATCTCTTTCTTTATTAGAATTCTTTAAGGATTTCTCGCATAATTTATAGGTTGTGTGGAGTCTATGTTCACCTATTCCACATTCCATAACATGGCATTTGTTCACATTAAATTCCATTTGCCAAGTGGTGTTCCATATACTTATTTTGTCTAGGTCTTCTTGAAAGGCATGACAATCATCTAAGTTTCTTATCCTTCCTATTATTGTAGCATCATCAACAAACATGTTCATATAATTCTGTATTCCAACTGGTAGATCGTTTATGTAGACAATGAACATCACTGGTGCAAGAACTGAACCCTGTTGTACTCCACTTGTGACATTTCTCCAGCCCGATACATTGCCTCGGATTACTGCCCTCATTTTTCTATCAGTCAGTTTCATCCATGTTAGAAGCTTACCTGTCACCCCCTCCAATAGTTTCCAGTTTCCAGAACAACCTCTTATGTGGAACTCTGTCGAAAGCCTTTTATAGGTCCAGATAGATGCAGTCAACCCAACCATCTCTTTCCTGTAATATCTCTGTGGCTCTATCATAGAAACTGAGTAAATTCGATACACAGGATCTTCCAGATCGAAAACCATACTGCCTGTCTGACATTATATCATTTCTCTCTAGGTTTTCTACTCATTTAGTTTTTATTATTTTTTTCCAAGATTTTGACTTATTACACTTGTCAATGATACAGGTCCATAATTGAGGGAGTCTTCCCTGCTGCCACTTTTGTAGAGTGGAACTATGTTTGCCTTTTTTCACACATCTGCTATGACTCTTGTACACAGGGATATCTGAAAAATCACCCAAAGTGGTATGCTGAGCTCAACTGCATATTCTCTCAGAACCCATGGTGAAACTCCATCTGGGCCAACTGCTTTGTCCTTACTTAGCTCCAAGAGCATTTGTTTCACTTCATCTCTAGACACACCTATGTGCTCTATGTTGTGCTCTGGAATTCTTATTGCATCTGGTTCTCTGAAGATCTCATTTTGTTCTAACACACTTTGGCACTTTTCGTTTAATGTTTCACACATTTCCTTTTCATTTTCCCTGTATCTTTCCCCCATTTTCAACCTCTGAATATTATCCTTTACCTGCAGCTTGCTTTTAATGAATGTATAGAAAAGGCCTGGACCTGATTTACATATGTCTGCTGTACCGTTCTCAAAGTTCCTCTCTGCCTCTCTCCTTATTGACATGCAGTTGTTTCTCGCATCTTTGTATCGCTGATATGTTTGGGGATTTGGCCTCTTCCTATAATGATTCCATGCTTGTGTCTTTTTCATCTCTGGCCCTCTTGCAATTTCTGTTGAACCAATCCTGTTTCCTAGGTCTGCATCTCTGTTTTGGTATGAATGTTTGTATGCCTTCATCGTATATTTTGCAAAATATGGCATACATCTCATTTACTTCCTTGCCTAGCAACAAGTCTGTCCAATTATACCCATGAAAAAAATTTCTGAGTTCCCCATAGCGTCCTCTCTTGAAATCAAGTTTAACAACTGTTTCAATGTCCCCATTCTCTACTAGATTATATCGCAAAGCGTATTTAATGTCCAAGAGGACGTGATCACTTTTACCCAAGAGAGGGAGGTACTGGATGTCAAATACCTCTTCTTCTTTCCTGGTGAACATTAGATCCAGTATTGCCGGAACATCCCCTTCCCTCATTCTTGTGGCCTGCTTGACGTGTTGATACATGAATGTCTCCAAGATGAGGTTTACAAATCTGCCTGTCCAAATGTCCTCTGTTCTTGCCTCGTAGGCCTCCCAGTCAATTGCCTTAAAGTTGAAGTCCCCCAGTACTAACAATCGGGATTTATCCTTGTCAGCTCCTACCATAATCTCCCTCATGACCATTATGAGGCCTTCTCGTTTGTCGTCGAGTTCTTCCTTTGTCCATGTGTTGTTTGCTGGTGGGCTGTAGGCATTTAAAATTATCAGCTTATCATCTTGATTCCAGATCTGCAATGCCATTATGTCAATATCTCGTGGGTTTTCAAATATTAACTCTATAAATAATATATATATATATATATATATATATATATATACACAGTATACAGTATATATATTCAACTAGGTGAATACACACAC